TCATTAAAAAGACAGAAAGGATGGAATGTGGGACCCTATCCAGAGAAGCAGTGACACCAGAGATGGAGGACGAGATGAGGACATGGAGAGATAGAGCAGTTGTGGACTCTAGACTTATGGAAAGAGAAGGGCTGTGTGCTGGCAGCCAGGAGGCAGGCTTGCAGAATGTGCTCTTTGGTTGTTTAAATGATTATATATTCTTGAGTGTTTTTGTGTACACCTTCTCCCCCACAAAAACAAAAACAAAACAAACCAGAGGGAATAGAAGCAAATATTGTTGAATGATGATGCACAGGGGAGATTGTAATCATTGCAATGAAATGGTGTAAAACCAATGTTTTCCCATGTAAAGTATCACTCAATTCACAATAAAACCTTAAAAAAATAAAAAAAGAAATGTTATACAACTGGACATGCAGAAAATATATATGGCTGTTATTTAGATGTGTCAAATTTATTACCTTAAAAAACACAAAAAACTAGGCAGTTCAAGCTCACCAGCTACTCCTCAGAAACCCTATACAGTGTCGCTATGGGTCAGAACCGACTCAACAGCCCTTAACAACAAGAAAACAACAAAATTGAGGATGTTTTTGATGTCTTCCTCTTCTCAGAAATAAACAGTGTTTCTTAATTTTCTCCCTACACCCCCATATGCAAAAAGACAGGAAAGAAAGAAATAACAACAATAAATGTCAGAAGAAACTCTGAAACCTACTCTCCAGCATAGAGATGCTAAAGCCAATGGAAGAAATGAGAAAGTAAAAGAGTTGAACAGAAAATTTCAAAAGGAACCTCGAAAAGACAAAATTAAGTATTATAATGAAATATGCAAAGACCTAGAGTTTGAAAACCAAAAGGGAAGAACATGCTCATCATTTCTCAAGCTGAAGAAACTGAAGAAAAATTCAAACCTCAATTTACAATACTGAAAAATTGTATGGGTAAAATATTGAATAATGCAGAAAGCATCAAAAGAAGATGAAAGAAAACACAGTCATTGTATCAAAAAGAAATGATCAATGTTCATCCATTTCAATAGGTAACATACGATTAAGAACCGATGGTACTGAAGGAGAAAGTCCAGGCTGCACTGAAGACGTTGGCAAAAAGTAAGGCTCCAGGAAATGATGGAGTACAAATTGAAATGTTTCAATAAACTGATGAAGTACTGGGGGCGCTCACTCATCTATGCCAAGAAATTTGGAAGATAGCTAGCTACCTGACCAACAGATTCGAAAAATAGTTGACCTAATGAAATGTGAAAATCATCAAACAATATCATTAATATGATATGCAAATAAAATTTTGCTAAAGGTAAATTAAAAACAGTAGCAATAGTGCATCAACAGGGAACTGCCAGAAATTCAAGTTGGATTCAGAAGAGGAGTGGAAGCAGGAATAGCATTGCTGAGGTCAGATGGATCTTGACTGAAAGCAGAGAATACCAAAAAGAAAGTATGTTCCAAATATTGCATGGGATGTGCTTATATTAAAATATGTTGGGGAGAGAAAGGAATAGCCAGAAATATCACCATAGAAAGCTTGTAAGTCTATCTTCTACTTATAACTGATTGGAATACCTAAAATGGGGCTACAACGTGCCCAGTTAAGGAGGCTTCCTGCAGAGCCTCTGCATTACATAAGACCATAGGTGGAATCCTGAACCCCATCCAGAATCTTCTGAGTTGGGAAAGCTCCACTTGAGAGGACAAGCAGACTAGCCTGAAGTGGCTAGAAGAACACAGATACTTCTTGAAAGAAAGACCAACAGGAAAAATACAAAACAATACTGGCAGTCTGACTGACTACTACAAGAACAAACAAGTTGCTCACCCAGAAGACATCAAGGCAAGTGATCGGGTCCCCTCAGGGCAAACCCTCGTCCAAGACTAAGACTCAAAAGGAATACACGAACAGACATGCGGTCTGTCTGGTGACCACGTTGGTCACCGATAAGGGGAAGTGAGGGAAAAACAGAAATGAAGCTGTGAGGTAAGCCCTACAACGTTTAATAGACTCCTGTGAACCTGGGTGGAGACCTCATTGACCAGCAGTGTGGCAAGACCTGGGGACTCGTGGGCCCAGAGTCAGTGACATAGCCACAGAGGACTAGAGTGGAGAGCGAAGCGTCCAGCTGATAAGAAGAGAGGGCATATATATGTTCAAGAACACCCACACTTGCGGATAATAACCACTTGACCTGGCTTCAATGGCTAGATGATCAGAACTCAACTAGAAGAAGAAAGAAGAGGAAAAAAAGAGTAATCTGATACAGTTTGATGAACTTGACCTACACCTATGGATGCAGTAGCTCAAAAGAGGGAATGAATCTTTACAGCGAGGATCATTCCCACCTCCTCTATACACAGAGTAGACAGGGATGGGCAACTTGGACATTGGCCACCCAAAATGGGGGTCTACAAAGGCAAGAAGTGACTGGCTTACAAGCTTTCAGGAGGGAGCCTAGATCCAGAGGGCACGGAGGAAGTTAGAGTCTCCCCTGAGTAGTATCCAATTTGTCTGGGCGGGGCTGATGAAAGGAAATGGGGATAGTACTCTTGTGGTACAATAGTGAATAATTGCTATCAGGACTGACTGTGAGGGTTGGAAATGTAAAGGTAGATGTTTTGTAGCAAAAGGAGGGGAGTGGTTGACTTTGTAGTCTAGGAGCGGAGGTCCCTGGGATCATCAAGGGAGAAGACTGGAGTGCAGGACCCTACCTAGAGAAACAGTGATACCAGATATGGAGGCAGAAAGAATGACATGGAGAGAAGGAGTGGCTGGGGACTTTAGATTCAGAGAGGGAGACGGGCTGTGTGCTAACGACCCCAGGGGCCGGCTTGCTGGGTATACCCTTTGGTTGTTTGATGATGCATGGAGGGGATTGTAATCATGGCAATGAAATGATAAACGATAGGATGAATGTAAAGCTAATGTTCTCCCATGTAAACTATCACAAAATTCACGATAAAACATTAAATAAAAAAGTTATGTGTTTTTTATCTGAAATTCAAGTTGAATTTATTGCATTTTATCTCCCCATACAATGTTCTTGTATTTTATATCCCCAAGCACACATAGAAACCCAGGAAATGTGTGTGGGCTGCTGGCAGGGATGAGAGGAGGACAGTGGCCTGGGACTAGAGATGTGTGTCCTTGCTGTTCACGGTTCAGACTGGTGGTCCTGGTGGTTCCATTTGCTATTTTCCACTTTCCCTACACTCAGAGACTCTGGAAACGAAAAGGCACCCCAAGACACGAGTCTAACGTTTCTATTTTATAGATGAAAAGACTGAGTTCTGGAGAGGGAACTTGCGTAAGGTCATTCAGCCAGTCACAACACTGAGTCTGGAATTCCAGAATCATAACCCAGAGGAGTTTTCTTTCTTTTTCTTTTTAGCTTATACTATCTCCTTTGAGAGTCCGCTTGGTTTTGTGTTTAAGAGCGGACTCTGCACCAGACTGTGTCAGTTCAAATTTGAGCTCTTGCCATTTACTTACTAGTTCCTCGATGCTGGGCCTTATCCTTCTGGTCTTGTCGTTTCATCTTTAAAATAAGGATTAAATAAATGAGTATTTACATATACTCAGAGCAGTGCTTGGCACATTATGAGCACTCAATTCATGTGTACTTTTCTTGCCTCTAGAGAAATCTCTTCCTTGTTTCCCTGTTGTCTTCTGAATCTGTGTCCACAATCCATGGCTTTTTTGAACTCTTGTCCTGAATTACTCCTGTACGTGGTCTTGCTGTGTCTCTCGCTGTCTGCCTCAGTCTCCCTGCCATCCAACTCTCCCTCTGTCTACCAGAGACCATTGTCCATTATAAAAATCAGCTTTACTGAGGCTCAAAGGCTTGATTCACTGCATTCAAAATTCAGCACAGAGCCTGGAAAGTTCTTGAAAGCAACACCGATCATGTCTTAAGCTTTCTGTCTTTCTTGAGGAAGGTAGGAAAGGTGGTGGAGGTAGGATGAGTCTGAGTGGCAGGCATTCGAGGCAACAAGCCAGGGTTTAAATCTGGGCTTCACCAGGGTCCCTGGGCCTCACTTTCCTTAAAATGAACCTAATAATAGTCCCATTACCAAGGGCCTGTGTGAGGAATAAAGGAGGTAGCACACACTTAGCACTGAATTCACACTCTTACCCCTTTCTAGCAATGAAACCTTGGGGAAACTCATCTCCATGTGTCTTAGTATCTCCATCTATAAAATGGGTACAGTAATCCCTTTTTCACTGACTGACGATGAGGAGTAGATGAGAACCTTTGAAAAGCTCCCCGTAAACTCTGGAGACAATGAAGCATCCGTATTTCATGCCATTTACGTGACCAACTTCTATCAACATTTACTTCCCCTTGGTAACTGGCATGGGAAATAAGCTGAAATCCTAATTAACAGCAGAAATGAGCTTGGAATTCAAGCTTTTGTTTTTTTCTGCTGTAACATTCCTGCATCATTTAGCACTTGAGCCCCATGAGCCAGCCTTCTTTTGTCTGAAGAGTTAGAAATGGTCTTGTTTGAGATGAAGGTTGTTTTTGTTTCATTTTGCTTTATAAACAGAAACACTCCCTGATTTCTGTTCTGAAAGGCTGGGGAGGAAGCTGAGTCAGGTGGGGTGCGGTTGACGTGAAATCGGTCACCCTTCCCTTCCCTTCCAGTGAGTTGGGCTAACCCATCAATATACTGTGACTTGCATATCAGCCCCGTTTACGATCCCATTTTATGCTCATTTCTCTAATGGCGTGAGAAGCGACAGCCTTCTTGTGGAATGCAGCACTATAAAGAACTGTAGTCTCAGGCCTGGGTTGGAATTCCAGCCCAGTGCCTGGTGACTGAGAAGGTGATTGGGCAAGCTAGGAAGTGGTGGAGCCTGAAAGTGGAGATGGCGCCTGTCCTGAAGGATTATAGTGAGGCTTAGTGGTGATGGATGTAGGAGCTTGCAGAAAAGCACCATGGGATTGAATGTATCCTGATAATGCCACATTCGTTCCCTTTCAGGATGATATCCCAGGTCCTGGGTTCTACAACGTCATTCACCAATCTCCAGTGTTCAACAGTGTGTCCTTGTCTAAGAAAGGAACGTGCACTTTTCCGTCTATGGTGAGCATCCTTTGTCTTGTTTCAGGTATAAACTGGTCAGTAATCATCTTCATTCACTGCATCATTTATTGGGCATCTCGTCTTTTCTTTTCAAAGACCCATTGTAGTTCTAATTAGGAGAGTAACCACTTCTTCAAATTTCCTGCAGGTAAGTGGTGTGGTTCTATAGGGTACGCACTGGGCTTCTAACCACAAACTTGGTGTTCAAACCCACCAGCCACTCCTCAGAAATGCTGTACAGAATCACTAGGCATCAGAGTCGACTGTGTTGCTAAGCACTTTTTTCCTCACCATCATAGATGGCCAGATTGGGAAATGAAGCTAGATTATTCCAAACCCATATTGTCGTCATTGAATGAACTAAGTAAATGTTTTCCTGAAATTTTTTGGCATAACAGGAAATGAATGTTACTTTTGTTTTTGATACATCTCCCCTTAATATAATTCTTGCACTGCTTAATCTAATTGGGTTATTCAAATTATTGAGACATATAATTGAACCAACAACAATTGGCAGTGGGCCTGAGAATTAGTGATTTACCCACTTTTCCTCTTTGCTGTATGGAATAGGGATGCACTTTTGTTGGTACTATAAAATAGCCACTTGAAGTACCAAGGACTCTGACCAGATTTGGACCAAGGGTATTCTTTATTTGGGTACTTAAAAGTGGCAAGAAAGAGAGGTCTGGCAGGGGGAAAGAATCAAACTATGGTAGAAAAGTGAAACAGAGCTCAAATCCAGACTCTAGCATTAACAAAACACATATGGTTTCTGTCCCTTTAAAAGGTTTGTTATAATTCCTGACATTGATACTGAATTATTAAAAAAAAAAAAAAAAAAAAAAAAAAAACTACACAAAGGGGCCATTTACGACACACTGAAATACAGACACTTGGTTGGGATTCAAGTTTGGCAGAACTGAATGCTCAGGGAACAAACCAACCTTGGAGTTACCTCCCCATCACCAAAGAAGTTAAGGTTGTGCATGCCCACATCAATCTCTGAAACAACCACACCTCTCCCTATTTTTCTGCCTCAAGTACTGCTAGTAAAGAAACTCCAAAGCACCTGGCAAAGGATGCACTGTCTCCCTGCCTTGGCACAGGAGGCAAGAACTAAGACCTAATCCTGACTCAGCTGTGGATTCTCAGTGTGACCTCAAGCACGTCACCTTTCTGTGTCCTAGTTGCCTCATAAAGCATGGAGACTCCCTGGAGGCACTGGGGCAAATGAATGTTGCAGTGGGTGAAGTGCTCTTTGAAACTGCAAAGCATTTTTACATGCTAAATATTATGATTGTTACCACCTGAGTCATTCATACTTCCGGCAACACCTAGGTTTTCTCTCCGAGAATTTCTTTGCCAAATACTGGCACTGCCCATTCCTGCCTGGTGCCAAAGAAGGGGCTGAATCATAGCACGTGATCCATTCGCTACTAACCTTTGTGTGCAATAACTTTCCAAATGCCGTTCTCTGGGACAAGGTCAGGCTATTCAACAAAGAAGGAGCCCCTGGGAAGAGCGAGATGTTACAGAATCTAATCAGACCTTCTAGGTCTTTAAAAATACAGACCAAACCAAAGAGAAGGTAGACACTGAGCTTTCAGGCTTCTTCCTCTTCTTTCATTGATATGGGAATTTAGATTTATAGGAGCACTTAGGTTCCTATGTCCTTGGGCAGGGGCCGGAAGTGGTTTATAGGATTCTGTCAGGAGACCCCACGTCTTTCCTAGTTCCTTTCTGGATCAGATGTGAATTTTGTGTTACCCCTCTCATAGTGACTTTCACATTTTGCACCTTTCCTACTATACATGCCAACTCTCTGAAGGAGTCAGAAGTAGCCCTCATCCCACCAGGAGGAATGTGATGGTGAACGAGGCAGATCAGAAACCTCTGTGGATCGCTAGACATTCTAGAAACTTCCTTATGACTGCTGGAAAAATTACACCCAACCTTTTGAGCAGACCTGTCATCACCTAAGTCCATGTGGAGTTCCAATGGTGTGCTCCAAAACATTGTTCCAGAATTATCACAAGGACTGCCCAGAAGCTGACCATTGCAGTGGGAGGAGAATTTGATGGCCTTTCTATACTTGTATGGTAATAGAAGTAGTTCTAGAATAGTCACTATGTGCTTGAGATAGGTCCATAAATGCTACATTGTGGCCAGATTGGAGACTAGAGGCTTGGCAAGTAAAAGAAAGCCGAAAGAAATCATAGGTGCATGAACACTACTTTGGCTACACTCTGAGACTAACTCTGTGGTGATTACGATGCTTCATGAAACCTTGCCTCGATCGGCAACTTTTTAGAACCATGTTGCCCCAAATCTGTTATGTTAACAGGTGTTCTTGGCCAAAAGGATTCTATGATCCAACATAGTTGAAACCAATTTCTTTATTGCAGAATTTAGATAATTTAATATGCCAATGTGTTTTATAAATCTTCAAAGTGGGAACATGGTCTCAGGGCGTCCCAATTTTATTTGACCCTGGAACTCCTTCTTTGCTGCCATTAACACCACCACAACCCAGTATAGTACAGAACTGGTATGCCAAGGGGCATACTGTGAGAAAGAGTGCTTTGGCAACAGATGTTTGTCCACTCTATGGCATGACTTACGATGCTGATGTTGTTGCTAAATACCATTCAGTTCGTTCTTACTCATAGTGACCCTGTATTGGGTTTCCAAGAATGGCTGGTGGGTTTGAACCGCTAGCCTTGTGGCTATCAGTGCAGTGCGCATCCTACAGTGCCACACCAGGATTCATGACTTAGGACAGACATATAATTAATAACAGTTCTCCCAATGAAAGTTTGATCTTGTCATTTTCTTCTGTGGGAATTGAAAAGAAAGAGCATGGGCGTGGCCTATAGTACTCGGCTAAGGAGCTAGAAGGTGGTGGTGGTGGTGGTGATGTGCTGTGGAATTGGTTTTGACTCAGAGTGACCCTGCATAGGGTTTCCGAGGCTGTAAATCTTTATAGGAGCAGAAAGCCTCATCTTTCTCTTGCAGAGTGGCTGGTAGTTTTGAACTGCTGGCCTTGAGGTTAGCAGCCCGACTCGTAACCACTATGCTACTAGAGCTTCTTGAGACAGAGGGTGGTGGTTCTTATTGAACTATAACCTTCCACAGTAATTTTGCAGATGCTCATCTTGTAAGTTAAAGCAGAGATTACTATTACTGGGAGACCATGCTTCTTGACACATCTTCTTTTGAATGGGGTGTCTGATATCCTCATTTCATCTACAGGCATACCTCAAAGATATTGCTGGCTTTGTTCCAGACCCCGTAATAAAACGGCTATTGGAATAAAGTAAGCCACATGAATTTTTTTGGGTTCTCAGTGTTATCTTTGCACTTCACTGTACTCTATGACGTGTAATAGAGCATACACCATAAATAACATTATGAAAAAGTTGGAAATATCATGAGAATTGCCAAAATGTGACCTAGAGAGAGAAAGTGAGCAGACCCAAAGTGCTGTTGGGAAAATGGCACCCATAGGCTTGCCACAAACCTTCAGTTTGCACAAAAATGCAATCAGTGATATGCAGTAAAACAAAGCATAATAAAACAAGGTGTGCTGTGATGGGGCCGACTGCCAGGGTCACAATTTTGGCTCTATCATTTCACGAGCTGAGGAGGGTTAGTTTCCTCAAATAATAATAATGTATCTACCACACAGGTGTTAATAATAATATCTACCACACAGGGCTCTCATAAGGATTAAATGCAGATGACACAACCTTGTTTGCTAGAAGCAAAGAGGACATGAAATACTGATGAAGATTAAAGACTACAACCTCCTGTATGGATCACACCTCAATGTAAAGAAAGCAAAAGCCCACACAACTAGACCAATAAATCACATCATGAGAAATGGAGGAAAGATTGAAGTTGTTAGATTTCAATTTGCTTGGATTCACAATCCATACTCACGAAATCAAATGACTTGTTGCATTACACAACTCTGCTGTAAAAAGATCTTTTTTAAAGTGTTAAAGAGCAAAGATTTTGAGGACTAACGTGTGCCTGACCCAAGCCATGGTATCTCCAATCGTCTCATTCATATGAAAGTTGGACAATGAATAAGGAAGACCAGAGAAGAATTGATGCACTTGAGTTATGGTGTTACAGAAGAAAATTGAATGTACCATGGACTGCCAGAAGAACAAGGCAATCTGTATTGGATGAAGTACAGCAAGAATGTGCCGTAGAAGTGAAAATAGCAAGACTTTGTCCCTCCTCCTTTGGACATGTTATGAGGAGGGACCAGTCTCTGGAGAAGGACATCATACTCGGTAAAGTGGAGGATCCGTGAAAAAGAGGAAGACCCTCAACAAGATGGATTGACACAGTGACAGCAACAATGGACTGAAACGTAACAACAATTGTGAGGATGGCTCAAGGACAGACAGTTTCCTTCTGTGCCTAGGGTGGCTGTGAGTCAGAACCGACTTGACGACCCCCAATAACAGCAATAACAACAATGGCCCATGACAAACACTTGCTTAACTATTGGCTAAAATGCACAGTCAAAGTGTGTGTGAGGCTGGGGTGACCTTCTGAGAACATCAATGGCTCCTTTCTATTAGAAAGTGTCAGAAGTGAGACTCAAACCCAGGTTAGGCTCTGAACAGCTGAAGTGCTGGTTAAGATCATGACTGCTTCTGGTGGTGCATCCACACATGTACCAGTGATGGCTCATAAACCACCAAACACACAATGAATGGGTGAACCCTAGTGGGTCTCCCAAATTTTCTATGTTGTATAGTTATTGGCCCACTTCAAGCAGAGGAAACTCAGGACCATGTTCTCATAAGATAATGGGAATTATGTTCTCTCATTTGACTCTAATACTTGCCATTCTATTGTAGGTAAAGTGATGTTATCGCCTAGTTTCTATGGCATTTGTCCCTTTTTGTTTGACAAACATTGCTTCTGTTTGATTTTGAACTGAAAATAGTTTATCATGGCTTCCTGGAAGCAGTGGGATTGGTTCTGTTGAACAGCAAGAATATTCCAGGGTGTTTATGAAAACAACAAATTAGGTGGGAGGTAAGAGGTGTGGGTGGACAGTAAGCCCCATGGACCCTTATACTTGTAAGATGTTTGAAGCAAGCTCACTGTTTAGGAAGTTCTGAACATTTCACCTGTAGAAACAAGATGTGAGGTTTTCCTCAAAAGAAAAGCCTCGGTTGGGGGTGAAAGTGGGGAACTTCCCATATCAAAACTTACCCAACAGCTGATGAGTCAGGTCTAAGTGCCCTGGAAGAGGACAGGATAGAAAAGCATTGATGGCAAAATTATTTTTGCCAAGTCCCAAACATGAGATGAATAGTCTGCGTTAGTTTACAGAAGTTAAAGCAGGTCTGAGCTTGCATTTTCCAAGAGCAAATCCTCAGAGTCCAAAGTCAGTTTATCATTGTTACCTGTCCAAATCTCACACTTCATTAAATGCGTTTAGGCCTAGTGCTGGGCACCATCGTTTTAACATCTGGCGTTCAGAGCCATGGGATTTTGTGACATTGCAGATTCCTTTGTCTTTCTGCTCACAGTGTACCCGACTGGACACCATCATTTCTAAATATCCTGCAGCTAATGCATACTCAATCCCATCATATATTCTTTCAAAGAAGGACTTCAGTAACTCTGGTTCCAGCATGTTCCAGTTGCCAAGCTTTGCCAAAGTTCTCAAATTGGAAACTCCAGCACCAAACCATTACAATGTAAGAACAGCACATGTGCTCACTAAATATGCGAGTATATTGAAAGAATGGGGGGCTTACTAAAAGAAAAGGGGAGGAGAGGGTTGGAAAATAGCATGAGAATGCACTTGGTAGATCAGACAGCAATGTTGACTACCCATTAAGTACACGGAGCTGTGCAAGACTCTTGAAGGGCATTTGCAGAACCAGAGAGGGTAGTGGGAAGACCACTGCCTTGAGGATACTTGGGAAAACTGGGACACAGTTTTCTCATCTGTCATAAGGACATAATATCTATACGCACTATTCATTAACTTCCTAGGTTCTTATGGAGAAAATCAACTTCATCTTTCGATATCAGAAATTTGTGTGTATATATATTTGTTGTTGCTGTTAAGTGCCATTGAGTCGATTCCAACTCATAGCAACCCCTGTATAGGGTTTCCAAGGTGTGGCTGATGGGTTTGAACTAGCAACCTTGTGGTTAGCAGTCCAGTGGTTATCCTATAGCACCACACCAATATCCATATATATATATATACACACACACAATACACACACACACACACACACACACACATATATATGGGCGTCCAGGTATGGTGCTGTGGGATAATGTGTCAAATTGCAAAGTTGTTTGAACTGCAACGTCGGTGGTTCAAGCTCACCAGCTGCTCCTTGGAAACCCTATACAGGGTCGCTATGGGTCAGAACTGACTCGACGGCACTTCACAACAACAACATATTTTATATATATATATATATATATATATATATATATATATATATATATATATATATATAATAGCAGTGGTCTATCAATAACCACTTGTTTTGTTTTCATTGAAGCAGAATAATACTTAATGGTTAAGAGATGGATTCTGGGAAGTTTGTTCAAATCTTGGCTCTGCCGTTTTCTTACTGTGTGGCCTTAGGCCAGTCCCTTTAACTTTTCAGGACTCAGTTTCTTGATCTATAAAATGGGCTTGCATGTCTACTTCATATTAATACAAATATTAAATGGGATCATCTAGTATAATTTGCTTGGAGTCTTGGTGTGGCACTGTGGTATAATGTACTGAACTGCAAGGTTGGTTTAAACCATAAGTCGGCGGTTCAGATCCACCATCCACTTCTTGGAAATCCTACACAGGGTTGCTATGAGTTGGAACCTACTTGATGGTACTTAACAACAACAACATTATCATTTGCTTGGTGCAGTTCCTGCCACACAAGAACTATACAAGAAATAGAGATTGGTAGGGCAGTATTTGGACAAGTCATTTTACCTCTGGTGCCTTAATTGTTAAATGGAATTAAATACTTGCCCTGCAGCATTATTATAAGAAGCAAATCAGTTAACGTACAAAATATGAATTGTACATAAGGTATAAATGTTATATCATATTTCAAAATATTTTTGGCCTCAGAATACTTCATTTTCAATTTTTTTTCTTTTATAATCTCTACAAAGAATATTTTTATGACTATTAAGATTCTATTCCCCTTCTCTGATGGAGTCATTCAGTTATGTTCAAAGCAATATTGATCTAGTCCGCATGCCCACATTGTTGTTAAGTGCTATCGAATCACTTCCGACTCAGAGCAACCCTGTATAGCAGGGTTGGGGAATGTCCAGTATACAGGCTCTGTGAGGCCCTGAAATCATTTGGTCTGGCCCTGCCAAGGCAACTGCAGTTCCAGTCATCACATTCAAGCACGCGAATTTTTAAGTTGAGAAGTTTGTATGGCCTGCGAATGGTGTTATAAAATCTAAATGGCCCTTGGAAGAAAAAAGGTTCCCCATCCTTGCCGTATAAGCTCTTCAAGGAGTGACTGCTGATGGGTTTGAACTGCCAACCTTGCAGTTAACATAGTAGTGTTCATCTTTCAGTACCACACCAGGATTCCACGTGATTTTAAATGTGCCAGTAGTCACATTTAAAAAGTAAAGAAGGCAGGTGGAATTAATTTTAACACTAGATTTTTTAATCTGATCAATAAAAATATGACCATTTCAACATCTAATCGATATATTGATTATTAATTTAATGTTTTACATGCTTTTCTTAATACGAAGTCTTCCTAATTCAGTATTGTATCCTACACACTTGCAGTACATTTTAATTGGGACCAGCTAGTGCTTGACAGCCACATGGAGTATTTTATTGAACAGTGTGGCTCTAGGTACTGCTTCCTTGGGGTCATTGTTGTTGTTAAGTTCTGTGGAGTCGATTCCAACCCATAGCGACCCTGTACAGGTTTCCAAGGAGCAGCTGGTGAACTTGAACCACAGACGTTACAGTTCAAACGACTTTGCAGTCTGACGCACGAGCCCACAGCGCCACTCTAGGACTCCCCCTAGGATCATAAAAATCCTGAAATGATGACAGACCACTTTTCATGGGCAGTGTGCTGCTGGTCTATGTGTTATTTCTTCATCATCTTATGCAACACTCGCATATGAAAAGGTGGATGATCTTATTTCCAGTTGCGGAAGAGAAGGTAAATCTCAAAGAGGGAAGGGGAATTGTTCAAAGTGACCCAGTTTGAAGGCACCATTTGCACAGGTACCACCCATGAACACAGGTGGATGACTGAGGCGAAAAGCTGGGGCATGATGGGAATCACGTGTTCCAACTCTTGGTGAATTCTGTGGCTAGTCTGTGCCAGCCTTCCTGAATGTAGATTCCAGTGGAGAACCCAGACAAGAACCTGGAAACAGGCAAAATGATTACAAACTGTCATGGGCTGTGAGGGAGACAAACAGATGCTGTAGATAGGGAACCTTGAGGGAGAGGGGTGTGGCAGTACCTTGTCCCCTAGAGAAGTCTCTGGGCTTGAGACTTAAGGATGCAAGGTACCAGAGTAGGAGGGCAGAGGATAGCAAAGTCCATGGGGAATTTTAAGAAGGCCAAATGGCTAGAGTCATGTGAGCTAGGAGGAGAGGGGGAAAAGTGAAGCGGGGCAGGTCGCCAGGAAGCTTTGCTAAAGGCCACTATGAGTTAAAATGGACTCTACTCAATGACACATAACAACAACAGAAACAATGCATACTCATCATAAAACAGAATAACATAGAACTGTATGAATTAGAAGGAATCCTGGTGTGGCACTGTAGGATAAGCACTGAACTGCTCACTGTAAAGTCAGCAGTTCAAACCCATCAGCTGCTCCTTGGAAACCCTATTCAGGGTCACTATGAGTCAGAACTGACTCGCAACAACAACAACATAAATCAGAAAGTGGAAGTCCCTCATCATGCGAGTCCCCAAAGCAATCCATCATTAGAAACCAGGCAATTTCTTCCATATTCTTTTCCTCCCTCCAGAATTAGGATTATGTACCGCATGAGGCGTCCATGTCTCACTTAACTCTGTCTTGTACTTCCTCCCATGGCAATACGAGAAATCTACTTCACTGGTTGTTTTAAACCCCGCAACAAGAACTGAATGTTTTTTTAGTCTAATAGGAAAAATCTGGCAGTCTCTCTCTCTCTCTCTCATACACACACACACACACACACACACACACACACACACACACAGTGTACACAAAAATGCTCCCCCTTTTCAGTTGCTTTTCTGTCTGGGCCAGGAATGAAGCTGAAGTACTGTTTTGTCTACAGCAGGCTTTTTTTTCAAACCAGGAGAACAATGGTTGAGTCAACTGGTGAGGAGTAGAACTGAGATAATCCTGTTAGCCACACCATGCATTGAGGTTTGCTTGGTCTTTCTTTCCTTTTGCTAACCAGGAGCCCTCCCCACCTCTCTGTTTGAATCCTTTTCCTTGGTACCGTGTTATTATCTGCTCTCAGCGACCTGGCCCCTCTCCTTTCGTCCAGTAATTAGCCTGCTCCATCTGATCTTTTTGTTTCTCTTCTCTGCATGCAGTCTCGCCATTAGGACCCTGGGAAAATCGAAATTCCTCCGCCTTTGTAAACATTGAATCAAAATGCCATCTGCATGTCTTGAGAACCACTTTTTTTTTTTTTTTTTTTTTGGACCAAGGAGTATCACAGAAAAATCAAACCATCCTGGCCCCAGCACATAGTTTCACTCATTTAGTAAATATTCCCAGGTACAATTTTTATTACTGCTTTTATCTACCTCATACAGGGAACTGCCTGCAAATTGGCATCTAAAATATTTATGATTCATTTGTGATGGATGAATGAGCTTGGGGTTCTTAGTTTTGCTTGTATTTTTAGATTTCTGAACACATGGCACATTCTCAAATATAGAGTGCGGATTTGCCAAATTCTGTATTTCTGGTCAGTCCAGAAAAGTCAAGACAGAGAGTGCTTACAAATCTGATCATAATCTTAAATTATACAATTCTCGTGTCTGCCTTTATAGGAGGATTGTTTGAGCAGTGAGGAATGCACTTTAGAGACCAGGGTAAGAGTGGGTAGGAGTCAGTGTCCTGAAAAGAATCATTGTCATGACCTTTGTTAGTTGCTGTTGAGTTGATTCCAGCTCATGGTGACCCCGGTGCTGCAGAGTAGAGCGGCTCCCTAGGATCTGCAAGGCTGTGATCTTTGGAAGCAGTTTGCCAGGACTGTCTTCTGACAGTACGTACTGCTGAGTGTGTTCAAACCACTAACCTTTTGACAAAGCAAACCAATTGTTCCATTCAGGGAAGCCCTGAAAAGAATTCTAGGCATAGAACAAAGCAATGAAAATAATTTGTGTAGCATTACAGACTTTCCCAACATGCTTTCCTATAAAGTATTTCCATTGCCTATCCCCCACCTTTAGTGGTTCTTTGTGACAAGTAGAGTAGGGCTTCTCTGATTGGTTTTACAGCTGAGAAAACTCAAGTTCAGAGAGATTAAACAACTTGCACAGGAGCACACAGCCTGTGTGTGACAGAAGTAAGCCTAGAAGCTGAGTCTTCAAAATCAAAATGTCATCTGCATGTCTTGAGAAAAATTTTTTCCTTTCCACTATTCCACTGTCCCTGCACCATGTTGGGTCAATAGACATTGGCTGTTGATTACCAATTCCTTGACCTTCTGAGCTGGGACAACTGTGCAGGCACAGGTAGTGTGACTGTCACTCTCCGAGGACAGGTTAAAATTTGTGTTGTTTCTCTACCCTTTTTGCCCCCCAAATTCACCACTTGTCCAGGAATGATGACAAAGACAGGGAAGATATTGAACATACTGTGGATATTTTCTCTCCCAGGCCTCTATCTCCTCCTGCAAGCAGAGAAACAACGTTTGTGCCCGAGCCGGGTTCATGTCAAAGACCCAAAGAGGAGTTTTCACGATTAATGAAACAGGACCTGCTCCAGGTAAGCAGCTGGCGTGGCCTGGCATGGGCTCAGGAGTTCATGCACCAGTTTGGTTGGCAAGGCACCCATTCCTTCTTAGGGAGTCTTTCTCTCGCTCTCTCTTTTTAAAAAAATCCTTGTTATTGTGAATTGAGTGAAGGTCCATGGGACACATTACCAGTTCTACATTCAACAAGTCCCACACTTTATTTTATGTCACTGATTGCAGCCCCTTCAGTGTACCACCATGGATCCCACTTTCTCCCTGTTTTCTTGATTCCTTTTCTCTTTCCCTCCCAAGGTCTCTGTGCCCTGTTTTTGGGCAAATGTTGCCCTCTCTCTCTCGAATGGTTGGCTCTCCTATGGTGTGTGTATCCCATTAGCATTGTTGTTTCCCTCATATATACGGATCCATTGCTTGGCTATGGGGATGAGTTCAGTTCCAGACCTGAAGGCTGACCAAGAGCTGTACTCTCGGGGTTCCACCAGCCTCTATATAACCAGTCAGCCTGGTGTTTACTATGATTTTGAGTTTTGTTCCACATTTTTCTCCCACTCTATCCAGGTCCTTCGAATGTGATCCCTTTCAGAGCAGTTAGTAGTGGGAGCTAGGTACCGTCTAGTTCTGGTCTCAGGATCATGGAGGCTGATGTTCATGTGACCCATCAAACTACCGGACTTAGTGCTTCCAAGTATCTTCAGTTCTCATCACTCCTCTTCCCTCTGTACTGGGAGAAATAACCACAGCTGCACCTCACATGGCTGGCTGCTCATGAGTTTTGAAGACCCCACCAAAGCAGAATGCAAAACACTGTCTCTGTAGACTATGTCTTGCCAATTGATCATAGTGTTCCCCAAGAGCATGGTCCTGAGACCCAGACCCTGTATTAGGGAGTCTCCTTTGAAGGAATTAGACTTTGGGGGAGTAGGGGCAGAGGCAGGTAATAAACAAAGAGGAGCCTACTTCAGGGAAGAGGGCTGGCAGGGATCTGGAAATGGTCCCTCAAACAGGGGACCTTTCATTGTGATCCTCTTACTTAACCTGACATACCTGCTCTGGGCAACCAATCACCTCTGAGGTGAACAAACACACATACCCCAAGCGTCTGGACAGGCCACAGTGGGGTGGAGAGATGACAGTCTGTCCAGATAGTGACAGTACAGTATTCCTCGTCTAGGTCCAGAGTGACTACATCATCTCCTCATAAAACGATGAGCACTGCTCCATTTACCCGGCTAAGTGTTCTCCATGCAGTCCCCGCCTGCCTGTTCTCACAGGCTGTGATGAGGACATCAAGGCTCAGAGAGTTGAAGCAACTTGCCCGGCGTCACACAGCTAGTAAACAGCAGACCTAAGCCCTGAGGTGTTTGGCTGAAGAGCCTGCCCACCCCCACCCCCATTGTTCCATGGTGCCTTTGGAAACCCCCAGGTGTCAGGAATACCTACGAGTATGCCTCCAAACCTTTCCCCCAACTGGCCATGGGAACCTCCTCCTTCCCCTGCCAGCCCGAGTGGACACTTCCAATGAAGTCTGCTGGGGACCTGGTGTGGTGCTGTGGGCTAATGCGCTGGACTGCAAAGTCATTTGAACCACAAGGTCGGTGGTTCAAGATCACCAGCAGCTCCTTGGAAACCCTATACAGGGTTGCAATGGATCGGAAAGAACTCGACAGCACTTAACAACAACATAAAGCAAAGCAAAACCCCACCCAACACAGCTTCTGTGGAGTCCATTTCACCCCACATGTTGCTTGCAAAGCAGAACTGTGCTCCGTAGAGTCTTCAAGGCTCAGACCTTTTAGGGTCGAACCACCACCTTCTGATTAGTAATCCAGTGCTTAATCATTTGCACTACCCAGGGACTCCCCCCTGCTATGTTAGACCTTTCCAAGTGGGGGAAGACTCTCCCCCATCCCACAGGAGCTGAGATGAGTAGGAGTGGAGGGTTTGCTCTAGTAATTTCGCCTCTTGCAGGGGGCGGCGTGGATCTAATTGCAGCACCCCTCAGATTTCAGCAAATCCAGATTAAAGCTGAGAAGATCAAGCTGAAGCTGGATAACAAAACCAACCCTAATTAGGAGGCTCAGGCCCGCTTCAAGCTCCTCTGCTTGCATCATCCAGTGTGCAAACGCCACCTTGTTTGTTTATACAGGAGACAAAGACAGTATCCCTGGGCCTGGCCAGAGTCCCCCGCGGTGAGCCCTGGAATGTGGCACCCACACGGCCACATGCATCTGCTTCTGGGGGGGTGTCCCTGGCCCCCTTCTGATACAGCGTAGGAGGGGGGATGTGACGACTAGCATCTGTTAAGCCTCTACTGTGTACTAGGAAAGGAGCCCTGGGGGCTCAGTGGGCTAAACATTGGACTGCTAACTGCAAGGTATACAGTTCAAACCCACAAGCTGCTCAGCAGGAGAAAGATGAGGCAGTCTGCTCCCATAAAGATTTCCAGCCTCTGAGACCCTATGGGGGCACCCTGCCGGGTCACTATGAGTTGGAATCAACTTGACAACAGTGGGGGTTGTGCTGGAACCTTTACTTTCTTTGTCTCATTGAACACACTCAAAATCCCACGGAGCATGCGCTTGGCACTCAATTAAACACTCAGATACTGTGAGCTGTTATTATTTTATCTCCATTTTACAGATGAGAAAAAGTGATACACAGAAAGTAAGTCCTACTTACTTAGTTCCTGGACTTAGCTCCTGGCCCACAGAGTCCAAAGCTGGGTGCTCTTCAGAGACCTCTTCCCCCTACTTTTCCTGGGGAATCTGCCCCTGGAAGAAGCCTTGCACTCTCTGGAGTCCTTTCCACTCTCTGGAGAAGATAACAGTGCTTTCCACTAGCCTTCTATGGGGAGAAGTCCCGTGTGGAGCCGCCATTGGCAGCCCTTGGGTGTCTCTCCTTTTCCCCTTTCTGTCAGGGTCCCTGAAGGCTGTGTCCTGCACTCACCATCACACCTCCTCGAGGTGAATTTTCTTGTTTATGAGCCAAGCACAGATCTGGCCACCTCACAAATTCCCACTCTCTATTTGCCCTTCAAAACAGATGGTTAGAGCACAGAGTGATGACTATGTTAAACTGTCAGCATAAATATTGAATCCACACTATGAACACAACACAGAATCCAGTGACTCAGGAGAGACACACAGGAAATACTCCAGAATCTTCACTTTGGTTCTCTTGGGGCCATGGGACTGTGAATGACCTTTGCCCCCTTTGCTCTGCTTTTCAATATTTTCCAAATTTCATAGTGCTAGTAGAGTCCTAAGGAGCTCTGGTAGCGTAGTTGTTACGAGTCGTGCTGCCAACCTCAAGGTCAGCCGTTCGAAACTACAAGCGGTTCCGCGGGAGAAAGATGAGGCGATCTACTCCCGTAAAGATTTACAGCCTTGGAAACCCTGTGCAGGGTCGCTATGAGTTGGAACCGACTCCACGGTACTTAACAACGACAACAACAACAACAACAGTAGAGTCCTGGTGTGGCACTGTAGGATAAGCACTGGACCAAAAGGTCAGTTTGAACTGCCAGATCAGTGGTTCAAACCCACCAACTCAACGGCACTTAACAGCAACAAGAAAATGTTGCTTTAACCTTAAAATAAAAACAAAAACAAAAGCACAGAAACCCATGTGTTTTCCCATTTTACACAAGAGCTACATATCCTAGATCTTTTGAGAACAGATTTTTAACAAATTACGGTAAACCCATCATTCAAAGCAAGGTGGCGTGTAAACATTTTGATGTTTATCTCTTTATGTCAAAGCTATATGAGGGTATGTAAGTATGGCTGCAAAATTATAGAAACTTTTCTTTAAAATATCAGAATGTGAAGTGATTATTTCTCAACACACCCACCATCTAGGTCTAAACCCTTCGCGAGGCAGTGTTTCCACCTCTCTTGGTGTGGCACCATAGGATAAGCAATACACCTCAAGGTTTGACCAACAAGGCTGGCAGTTTGAACTCACCAGTTGCTCCTCAGAAACCCTATACAGGGTTGCTGTGAGTTGGAACCAACTTGAGGGCACTTAACAACAACAATAACCCTTCCCTGAAAAATTCAATGCTCTTTGATTTACACCATGTCAAAATGGCAACTTGGGCATCCTCAAGGGATTCAAATTGTGTTCCTTTTCAAGGTTCTATGAGTTTGGGGAACAAAAAAGAGTTCGAAGGGGCAAGATCAGAGTGGGGTGGATGGGGTAAGGTTTCCCAACAAAATTCTTATAGGGTAACCCTTGCTACCCTCAAAGAATGAGAGAGGTATATTGTGACCAAAAAAAAAAAAAAAAAAATTCTTTGGTCAAACTTTCCGGGCTTTTTTCTCAGCAGTGCAGTTTTCTTAAAATTTCTTCCCAATAAGCCCCTGTGATTGTATTATGTCCTTCAAGAAAATCTATCAATTACCTTTTTGGAATAACCCCCACAAAAGTCCCCATAACCTTCTGAACTGACCTCTCTGCCTTGAATGTAACTGGCCCAGGAGGTCCCCTCAGAAGCTACTGATTTGATTGGACTTTATTTTTGAAGACACTGATGAAACTGAAGCAAATGTTGCTGAGAGAACTGGTCTGCAGCCATCACCGATCACAGAGACGTATTGAAACATCTTTTGTTTGGAAGAAGCCCATGCATGAATGAACTGGAACCCTAATAGCAATGCTATCATAGCTATTGCTTTACATGGCCTCTTGGTGTGGTGTGTGGGTTAATGCACTGGACCACAAACATACCAGCTGCTCCTCGGAAACCCTATACAGGGTTGCTATGGGTCGGAACTGACTCGTTGGCACTTAACAACAACAGCATTGCTTTATATACATCTTTTTGCTGAAAGCTTTTCTGTTCTGCTTTAATGATTTATTTCGGAACAATGACAAGCCTGGTCAAAGTGTACAGACATCTTAGTGACTTTTGCTGGCAATTTTCCCTTCCAAACCCCTCCCACAATTTAGAAGTGAAATTGCTTCCCCACCCCCCTCCGCCCCAGCTCATGCTGTTAGTTTTTTCTTTGGTGCTTTGTGCACAGTTAAATCAATTTATTATGTCACAATTTCTGGAGACAGGGTCTTGTAGCATGGTGGGAGAAGCATTGGTTTCGGAGACTCCCTGTCTCCACATAGTTGTTGTTGTTATGTGTCGTGGAGTCGGTTCTGACTCATAGTGACCCTACACAGGGTTTCTGAGGCTGTGAAATCTTTACAGGAGCAGAAAGCCTCATCTTTCTCTGGCAGAACAGCTGGTAGTTTCGAACTGTTGACCTTGAGGTTAGCAGCCCGATTCATAACCACTACGCTACCAGAGCTCCTTATGTTGTTGTTGTTATGTGCCGTGGAGTCAGTTCCGACTCATAGCATCCCTGTACAGGGTTTCCGAGGCTGCAAATCTTTATGGTAGCAGAAAGCCTCATCTTTCTCCCGTGGAACAGCTGGTAGTTTTGAACTGCTGACCCTGAGGTTCACAGCCCGATTCGTAACCACTATGCTACCAGAGCTCCTTATAGTAGTTGTTTAATAAATACATGTTGATTGTATAGCATTTACTAAGCAACTACTATATGATAGGAACTTAGCATCATATTCAATTATTGCAATTAACCCTGTTATCCTTATTTTATAGAGAAGCAGTCTGGTCTTCAGTGAGGTCAAGAGACTTGTCTAAGTCCCTGGTGAGAAGGGTGTCCTTTGGCAAGTTCTTTACATCTTTGAGTCTCAGTTTCCTCGTGTGTAGCTTGCAGGTGCTAATGCACGCCTCTCTGGGTTGCTGTGGGGTTAAATGCTCATGCATGAGGCACAGGGTCTCTCAGTGGTACTATGTTAGTGTGTTCAGGCAGCCCTCGCATCTGACCATCCACAATTGATACGGCCTTCTAATTGTTACGTGTATTCTTAAGTGTAAAGTTCTGCTTCTCACGTATTTGAAAAGCGTTCCTGATTCAGTTCTCAACGTTCTGTCTGCTTTAGGACATTATAATGTCAACGAATCCCTTGTGAAGGAGTCGCCCAAGATATTAATATCTTCTTTTAAATCAAAAACTGACCGTGGATTCAAACCGATGTCAACAGGCCCAGGGCCCGGTTCTTACAACCCAAATGACTACACCAAAGTGCTGAAAAAGACTCTTTTCCCGTGAGTCCTGATCATTCTGATCTTTCTTCTGAAAGGTGATGCTGAGGAAGAGCCCCAGCACAAGCAGACAAGGCGGGGGTGGGGTGGGGGGTGTCACTGGTTGGAAGACAGTGCCAGGAGCCCTTGTGGACACATAGTTGTCACATATGCTCAAGAAATACATGCTGAATGCTAGGATTAATTGAGCAGCCACTATGTGGCATGAATTTGAAATCGTACTCAATGATCGTAGAAACTCCATTGTTATCTACTCTCATTTTATAGAAGAGGAAGTTGGGCTTCAGTGAGGCTGTGAGATTTACCTAAGTCCACACAGCTAGTCTGAGGTGCCAAGGGAGACAGGGCTCAGTACTGTCGGATCTTTCCACATTCTCCCCGAATTTCTCATGTCCTGGTACTGAAATGTTTCTATCTTTATATAAGAAAATTGTCACTGGGGTGGTAGGGCATAGAAAAGTAGTAAAATTCTCATAAGTTTTACATGGATAGGAGTCTTGGTGTGGCGCTGTAGGATAAACACTGGACTGCTGACCACAAGGTCGATGGTTCAAACCTATCAGCAGCTCCTCAGAAACCCTGATGGCACTTAACAACAACAGGGTTAAAAGCCAGACTTTGGAGTTGGTCAGATTTGAACGTCAGCTCTGCTGTGGACCTTGGGCACTGTATTAAAACTCTCCGAGCCTGCATACCCTCATCTGTATTGTTGTTGTTGTTGTTAAGTGCCGTCGAGTCGGTTCCAACCCATAGCGACCCTGTACAGGGTTTCCGAGGCTGTAAATCTTTACGAGAGCAGAACGCCTCATCTTTCTCCCACGGAGCAGCTGGTAGTTTCGAACTGCTGACCTTGCGGTTCATAGCCCAATTCGTAACCGGAGCTAAACTAGTTCATGTCTCATTGGGTTGCTTTCTGAATCTAAAATATATATCTGGAATGTAGAGGTGCAAAAGGTAACTAGATGTTGTTGTTAAGTGTCGTTAAGTCGGTTCCACTCATAGTGACCCTGTACAGGGTTTCTGAGGAGCTGCTGATGATGGTGAACCTGAACAGCCAATCTTGTGTTAACACAGACTTTAAAAGGGAATTTATGTTACCATCCTGATGTGTTGCTGTAGGATAAGCACTGGACCCCAAGGTCAATTTGAATCACAAGATCAGTGGTCAAACTCACCAGTTGCTCCTCAGAAACTCTATACAGCGTGGCTATGAGTCACACCTGACTCAACAGCACTTAACAGCAATGTTATTTTTACCGGAGAGGCTTAAAAACTCACAGTACCTACTTATTTTTCAAATAGTTAAGAAGGGCACCTTCTACAACTTCTAGCATTAGCTGTGTTTAAGGTCAGCCTAAGTTTAGAGACCATCTCCAGAATACATTTGACTCATTGAACACTAATGACCTAAGAGTGGACTAGTTGTGGCATGACATCAAGGACATCATACATGAAGAAGACAAAAGGTCATGAGGAAGACAGGAACGGGTGTGTGCCGCCTACTCTTCCTCGTCTCCCCTCTCCCAGCAGCTGCCTAGGGGACCATAGTAAGAAGCAAGGACCATGTTCTAACGCAAGCTGACAGCCCTTGGTTACCACAACCCTACCGGCTTCAGCTATAAAGATGAAACAGAGTTTAGGGATTTTATTGTTTGGCTTGAAGATCAGAAAATCAGACACTACAAGATTGGAGACAGGGAATTCAAGAAACATCCACAGCAGTGACTGACCCAAGTTTTTTGAAAAATGTCTTAGAGATGTTAGCTGTCTTTTCAAGATTCAAGATGGACAGGAAGCAATTGACTGGCTTCTTGGCAAGACTGCTAGACTTGAATATGGAGACAATGCTGAAAAATACAAGGATTCAGTACTCAATAATACAAAAATGCTGATAAGGCAACTAAAAATGCAGAGCCATTAATCAATTTGGATGTAAATAATCCTGGTTTTAGGGCGGCGTAATGGCTTTGGCAAACCTTCTTCAGATTCAATGTCATAATGATTACCTGGTAATGTTAAAGGCAATTCACATTTTGGTTCAGGAGCGCCTGGCACAAGATTCAGTTGCTAAAGCACATCAAACAAAAGAGGGCTTACCTGTTGCTTTAGACAAGCATCATCTTGGTTTGGAAACTGGAGATGCAGTTCTTAATTAAGCTGCTCAGACGCTGTGATTGCTGTACATAGAAGAGCTCAGAGAGCTACGGACAGGGACAGAAATGAAGGAAGTCCCAGTAGGTATTCCATCCATTATCGCAGATCCGAAGACAGACCACAGACTGGGAAAAGCTGGAAGATGAACATTTTAGAATTTAAGCATCTCATAGTACAGTTGGGGACTATGTACATTTCTGGCATGTGTTTAGAAATTTAATGTCACATTTTCAAGGGAGGACTCCCAGAAAATTGACTCTTCTAGAGATTTACCATCATTGCTTTTCTTTTCTTTTCTTTAATAAAGTTTGGGAAAGTAAAAAATAAAAGAAAAGACAAGAAAGAAAAAAAAGATCAAATTGGATGTCACAAGAAATGCTTAAACTTGCTCTTAAACGTAAAGTAGCTGAAGTGAATGGAAGATATAATGAAGCAAAAGAACAGAACAGAAGATTTCAAAGCATGGCTTAAGAAGATAAAATAATAACATGTGCAAAGACTAGGAGATAGGAAACCAAAAGGGAAGAAATCACTCGGCATTTATTAAGCTGAAAGAACTGAAGAAAAAATTTAAGTCTCAGGTTGCAATGTTGAAGGATTCTATGGACAAAATGGAGTCCATAGAAACAGAGTTCTGGTGTGGTGCTGCGGGTTAATGCACTGGACTGCAAGGTCTGCTTGAACTACAAGGTCGGCAGTTCAAGCTCACCAGCTACTCCTCGGCAACTTTGTACAGGATCTCTATGGGTTGGAACTGACTTAATGGCACTTCACAACAACAATGGGCAAAATATTGAAAGATGCAGGAAGCATTAAAAGAAGATGGAAGAAAGATATGGAGTCACTGTACCTGGAAGAACCGGTCACTGTTTAACTATTTCAAGAGATAGCATATGGTCAAGTACTAATGGTAATGAAGGAAGAAGTCCAAGTTGCACTGAAGGCATTGGTGAAAAACGAGAGTCCAGGAGACGATGGAATACCAATTGAGAGGTTTCAATGAAGAAAGTGCCGGAAGTGCTCACTTGTCTGTGCCAAGAAATTTGGAAGACTGCTAACTAGCCAACCGATTGGAAGAGATCAATATTTGTGCCCAATCCAAAGCAAGGTAATCCAACAGAATTTGGAAATTATCAAACAGTATCATTAAGATCACAAGTAAAATTTTACTGAAGATAATTCAAAACCAGTTACAGCAGTATATCCACCGGGAATTGCCAGAAATCAAACCAGATTCAGAAGAGGATGTGAAATAAGGGATATATTTCTGATACTAGATGAATCTTGGCTGAAAGCAGAGAATAGCAGAAAGATATTTACTTGTAGTTTTTTGGGCTACACAAAAGCATTCAACTGTGCGAATCACAATGACTTGTAAATAACATTGCGAAGAATGTGAATTTTAGACCACTTAATTATGTTCATGCAGAAATTGTACATAGATCAAGAGGCAGTCGTTCAAACAAAACAAGATTTAAAATCAGGAAAGGTGTGCATTAGGGTTGTATCCTTCACCATATTTATTCAATCTGTAGACTGAGCAAATAATCAAAGCATGTGGATTTATATGAAGAACACGGCATCAGGATTGGAGGAAGACTTATTAACATGATGTATAAATAGTACAACCTTTCTTGCTGAAAGTGAGGAAGACTTGAAGCATTTAATGATGGAGACCAAAGACTACCGTAACATAAAGAAAACAAAAATCCTCATCACTGGACCGACAAGCAACACTATGATAAACAAAGAAAATATTGAAGTTGTCAAGGATTTCATTTTAACTTGAGTCCACAATCAATGCTCATGGAAGCAGCAGTTGATAGATCAAACAATTGGATAAATCTTCTGCAAAAGACTGCTTCAAGTGTTAAAAAACAAAGCTATCACTTTGGGGAGTAAAGGGCACCTGATCCAAGCCATGGTATTTTCAGTGGACTCATATGCATGTGAAAGCTGAACAATGAATACTGGAAATGGAAGAATGAATGCCTTTGGATTATGGCATTGACAAAGAATATTGAATATACATACCATGGCCTGCCAGAAGAACGAACATATTTGTCTTGAAAGCAGTACAGCAGAATGTTCCTTTAAAACAAGGATAACAAGACTGGAGAAGGACATCATGCTTTGGGAAAGTAGGGGGTCAGCAAAAAAGAGAAAGACCCTTAATAAGATGGATTGCCACAGGACTGCAACAATGGCCTGAAACTCAGCAATGATTCTGAGGCTGGGGCCGTGTTTTGTTCTGTTGCGCATGGAGGCACTATGAGTTGGACTTGACTCAACAGCACTCAACAACATTAACAACAGTAAGATCAGCCCTGTCCCTATCTGAGCCCTCACTCCTGTGTAGTTGTCTCCAAGCAGGGTTGGTTGTTGAGAGGGCTGGGACTGAACGAGTAGACACCCTGGGTACTTCCAGAGTGGTCAGCCAGGTGTGGCCATAGCCACAATTGGAGGCTGCCAGCATTGGACATCATGTGGCCATCAGGATTGGACGGAATCTGCCAAGTCAAACTTCGGATCCACAGAAGGGATTCAGGAATCAGTTGATGTCCACTAGGTAAACACAATCTACCCTTCAATTCTTGGGTTCTGTAAGGCTGACCCTTCACAGGCTAGGAAACAGGAAAGGATATCACCAGGAATGAGATCTCTCCAGAAACCAGGGGCTTCCTATTTCTGGACCAGGAGGGAATGGCTAGAAGGATGGTTTTTGGAGCTAAGTAGGCCAGTGTATGAAGCCCAGCTCTGTCCCTTACAGGTTAGGTGACTTCTCTCTAAGCCTCAGTTTCCATGTTATTAAATGGGGATAAGAATCTAATCTCATATGGAAGGTTAAA